AATTGTACTTGTTCTCCAGCCACCTCCTCGTGTTTCTAGCTGCTGGCTTGCCTTGTTGGCGTGCGCTGCCTGGGGCTGGTCCTGTGCCACCCAGGATGGGCAGGGAAGAGTAAAACCCCCTCCCTGTGCTGACTTCCCATGCTGAAAAGCAAAGGCAACCTTCACAAACAGTCTGGAGGATGGAGAACATGACCTAGACCTAGGAGGTGGTGATGGTGTGTGTGAAGCTGTAAGCAGAGCAGACCTGTGGAGCTGCTGGGTGGTGGAAGGGTGTCCTGCAGGGCCTGGGAATGGGAGTGGTGGGGGAAACATGGACCTGCCCAAACTGGAGCTCTTGGGAACAGTGTCACCTGCCTGAGGAGGGTATTTGCCACTAAACAAAGGTGAGGTTTGTTCATCCACAGCCTCACCTGACAATCTGGATGTTCATTCATGGTACCTTGTCTTGTCTGTCCCTTTGACAGAAGGAAATGACCTCCCGGATGTGCCACTGAGATCAGACCTTCCTGCTCCCACCTCGGCGTCTCTTCCGAGGACTCCGAGCCCCACTCCTGAATTGGAGATGTGATTCAGTGGGAGAACAGAGACGTTTTGTGAAAGAAATCTCTATATTTTTAATGAGTTTCAATGTAAAACTGTGATATTGCAGGAATATTTTTTTAAAGATGCTCTAGATAAACTAGTTTTTTATAGTAATTTCTATAAAAAAGAAAAAGAAAAAATATTTTGGGCCACTTGGTGGAAATGCTTGAGGAGGGAAGAGCCACCCTGTACTGCCTCTTCCCTGTCACCTCACAGCAGTGGCACCAAGCGAGCTGAGCCAGATGCTTCAGCCAGAGCCGTGTCGTGTGGCTGGTGCCGCGATGGAAGCAGCACTTCCCTCCAGACACCCATTTCCCACCCGTGAAGGGAGGTTATGTTGGAAGTGGGGAAGAAATGCTGGTGTCTGTGGATCCCCGAGGTGCTGTTTGGTTCCAGCACCTCTTCCACTGGCTGTGAGTCCAGTTTTTGGGCAGAACTGCTTTTGTGCTCACCTTCCACATGGCATCCTGTCCCCAAGGCTTGGCCCACCTGGCTTTCCCTCTGAAAGAAGTTGGACTTGGGTTTGTCTCCTGGCTCGCCCAGCGCTCCCACTGCTGACGGGGTCTGTGCTGGAGCGCTGCTGCTGTCAACCTGCTCTTGCCTCTGGCACCAGCTCTGAGCTGAGCTGAGCTGCTCCCCATGCACAGCCCAACTGTGGCTCTGCCTGCACTGTCCCCACGGGGACAGGGATCCGCGCTGGCAGCGTGGGGACAAGCAGATGTGTACCTGGTGGGAATGAGCAGAGGGAAGGTGCTGGGACAGGCATGGGGAAGTCTTCTTCTCAAAACACCTGCGCTTCCCCATCTCCTTGTGGTACGCTGACCCTGCCAGGAAGGAACTGAGCTGCTTGTCCTCCCACCCCACTTACTGGCTGCGTGTGGACCAATTTCTGCTTCCCATTAAGGGTACGGAGCCTTCTCCCTCCTCCCGAGCAGCGCGGCCCCGCTCAGCTGCGCACATCTCACACCCAGAGTCTCTGGTGTGCAGCCAGACCCGCAGCCTTGCCTGCTGCTTGTACAAACAACTCCACTGCTTGAGGAGAGCTTTGCAGTGCCCCTGAGGTAGGTAGACGGGTCTACCTAGGATCTGGGGGTGCAGGGGAGCAGGGTTTACAGTAAAAACAAAAAGTTTCCATGAACAGTGACCAAACTGTACCACTAACCACTTCTTCCTTGCAAAGTTGTTTTCTGTGTCCTGGAATCTCTGTACATATGTGACTCTGTTTCTTGTACTCTCGTTAGGACACTCGTACAAATACCACTCTAGTTCTCTGAAATGGAACCAATAAATTATGTTGTATTTACACAGCACGCTCCGATCGCTGCGCGTCTCGTGATTGCGCTTTATCAGCAAAGCAAACGCGGTGTGTTGGGGCTCCTGGGGAAGTGCTCTGGAGAGCTGCTTCCTACAGTCGCTAAAAGCTCTTGGGTGTGTGCTCCTGGCGCTGCTGCCCTCAGGTTTGGTTCCTCCTGCTCTGGAGGTGCCGGCTCTGGGCTGCTCCGAGCCCTGGTGCTTGTTCCCAGGGCTGGGGGGTGGAGCGGGTGGGTGCTGGAGCTCAACCAGCAGCTTGGGCTTGTCCTGACTTGTCTCTGCCATGTCCCCGTACCCAAGGGCTGATTCTCCCAGCTCTAAAACCTGGGTGGATGTGGGCAGGAGAGTTGAGTTCAACCTTTTACCAGCTTGCTGACGGGCTCTTTGCTGCTGAAAGGAGCTGTGGGTGTTGCTGGGGAGGCTGATGGACAAGGTTGGCCGAGGTTCTGCATTTGGGGTCTGTGGGTTATTTTCCTGTCTGGGAGGGGAGTAACGGGCTCCACAGCCACGGCTCCTGCCTGTACCA